TTGGGGCTGCCATTGAACTAAATCATTAATGCGGATATTATGATTGTTTGTTGGTTAGAGTTAGTTATACGGCGGATCCGTTAATTAACCAACATTAAGAAAAGATAAAAATTCAGAATATAAATTGTAGTTTTGTTTCAAGGATCGGTTTTAATTTCCGTTAGTGGATGTGTGCTTGCAACCAAGGTTTGTTTTCTTAATAAATTTTGATTTCAATTGATTTTGTTTGCTAGTTTAATTTCTTCCATAGTTTAGATCATCACAAATCAAAACCCCCAATTGCATAATGTATAGCATAAAAATCTGAACTAAATCTTCCTTATGGGATCGACCCCTTGCTTGCTCTATACTATCTTGTGTGTTGTGTTTTAAGCTAGGGTAATTAATTTGTGCAACCACGACATCGCAACAACTATGCTGACGTCTTTGCTAACTAATCGCTGACATGGCATGTCAGTTGTGCATGATGACACCATGATGATGTCATCCTTATCTAGGTCAGGCACGTGGGTTGGGTCATCTGGAATTCAAGTCGGGTCAGCTCATCTGGGCAAAGAAGACGCGTGCAACATGTGGCGCGTGTCTGCGCTCGTGGCCAGCCACCTCGTCGGCGCGTGTGGCCATGGCCAACGTCCGATTTCAACGCGGTTTTCACCAGTGTCTTCGTCTCTTCCTCCTCTACACAGTGGTATGGTCAAAACATAATTTTAATAATTTTTATTTTTGAGCAAAATCGAACACCACTTTAAATCATGTGCTTTGATACTAATTGTTGGGGAATTCGGACAGGTGATGTATTGATATTTACTCATAGGAGGCTAAGCACACTAACATAATATTTAATATGGTTCGGCAAAGCGCCTATATCTATGAGAGAGTCAATATTATTAGAGATAGAGAAAAAATACAAAACAAATACATGGAGGAGGAGGAGGATTACACCCATTCAAACTTAACTCCCAGCTCATACACACTGCTGCCCTTGACAGCCCCTCTTTCTCTCTTTTTCTCTTATATTTTGCACTTTAATACTCTCTCATTTTGCTCTCAAATAATACCTTTATTTATAGACATCAACGATAAGACAAGATCCATAAATCATGGTATAATTTGTGACACTAATAGTTATAATATATGAATTGTACCATTTTATCAATAATTGATCTAATTATGTTTATAGTCTTTTCATGATAATAACCCTACTTTTCATAATAGATTACATAATTTATTTTCTATTAATAGCAAATCCCAGTACTCCCCGTATCTTTTTTTACCAGATATCACATTCCCTCTAATCAAGGCATTCCATGGATACACAGTAGCAGTAGAAGTGCACTCATTAAACACGCTTTTGGCATCCTCAATAGAACCACAGGAAGTGTACATGTGGACAAGTTTTGTACGCAAGAACTCATTGTTTTGAAGCCCATTTATGCGTAAATGCGTGTGTATTTCTTTGGCTTTGGTCAAAGATTTCGATCGAATACAATCAGCTATAAGGGCAGAAAAAGTAGTGGGGTTAACTGGGATGCCTTGTTGGTCCATGTAGTCCATAATGATGAGTGCATCTTTAAGCTGATTTTTCCTGGCAAATCTTTGAATATCTTTATAAATTGCTCGTGGGTTTTTCTTGTGGAGCGGTAATGAAGCTTGAAGAAATTAATTTTGGAATTTTAATTCTAAAGTTTGCTTTTATGGTTATGCGATGCCTTTAGCTGAGAAGGCATATTAATTATCCATAAATAATGGGGTTCCCTTGTCTTCGAAGCTACATTTTTCTAATTATTTTTTATGACACGTTTCTAGCCAACAATAAATTAATACCTGTCAACAAAGCTTAAAGTACAACTGTAAATGATTACAACCGAGCAGAGGACCTAACACAATGAATGCAAAAGAAAGGAGTTGCAACCCACTGTCTAGATCTACACAGTCGCTAGTGTTGAGACCCACAATTGTTTTCCCGAGGCTAGGGTGAAGGAAAAGAATTGCGTGGAATTATTTGAATTCACAATAGCACGAGGAAGTCTTCCTCTTTTCTCCATGGAAGAAGGTTGCTTGGAGTCTGATAAGATAAACACACGAGGACAAATAATGTTTTGATTACGATATCGTAACAAAATATTCCAAGGTCAACTTGCTTTAATATTTAGATCAATACTAGCATGGATGCTAAGGATACATTTAAATTTGTAATTGATATAAAATTAGAATCCTAAATTACATATTAATAATAAAATTTTATTATGCTTAAATTAAAACAAAAAATATATTTTTTATGAAAAAAATTAATTAAAAAATAAATCAAATTAACCCGAGTTAATATGTGAAATCTTTGACTTGGATCATGCAATCAGAATAATTTTATAGAAAAATAAGTAAAAAAATTTACAAAGTTCAATTAAAAAAGGAGCCGAAAAATTAACATAGTTAACTCAAGTCAACTTGTTAAATTCGCAACCTAAATTATGAGATTGAGATAACCTCGTAGAAAATAAATTAAAAAAATTATGAAGTTCAATTTCCAACCAATTTAATGTAAAAAATAAAATTGAAAAAAATTAGAAAAGCAAAAAAAAAAACAACCTGAGTCAACCCACGGTTAAACCCGTGATCAAGATCATGAGATCAGAATAAATTCATTGAAAGTAAATAAAAAATTATGAAGCTTCAAAATGACCAAATATTAAAGGTTAAAATTGAGAAAAAAATAAATCCATAAGATTGAGATAACTTCATAGAAGAAAAATTAAAAAAGATTACGAAACTTAATTCCCAACAACTTAATATTCAATGATGAAATTTGAAAAAAATCTAAAAAATGAAGAAGAAAGATTGAGTTATTAGATGATGAAATTCAAAAAAAAATTAATTTACTCTCACTATTCATGTGAACAATGTTTTTTTTTTTGAAAAATTAGTGCAGTGAATTGATTTTACTTGCATTATTCATGTGAACGTGAACAATATTTTTTAAAAAAACTATTTTAGAGTAAATTAAATTTACTCGTACTGTAATTTCAATTTTATTCCTGATAATATTTTATCTAATTTTATTGCATGTTCAAAAATCATGGAAATTATAGTTCTTGTTTGATGAATTTTATATGTAATGGAATCATAGATAGTTTAATGCAACAATAAAAAATATTTTATATAAAATATTTTTTATTGTTGCATTAAACTATCTATGATTCCATTACATATAAAATTCATCAAACAAGAACTATAATTTCCATGATTTTTGAACATGCAATAAAATTAGATAAAATATTATCAGGAATAAAATTGAAATTACAGTACGAGTAAATATTAATATTAATATATATGTATTTTACTTATTTTATAACCTTAATTTAAAAAGTATTCTTAACCAAGCACATTAAACTATTTTTTGTTCAACCTCAATTTTAACCATAGTTTTAACCAAACATATATAAATATTATACCAATCTTAACTAAAAATAATTTTTATAAAATAATTTTTTTTAAATCACAGATACAAAAGCTATCTTAATAACGATCACACTCCATCTCTGATCTTTCCTTACATCAATTTCTTTTTATTTGATCTTTTGAGCTATTTAGTTTGGGACCCAATGATATAAGGGTAAAATAATAATTCATGGTGATCAGCAAGTTTATGGGATTTGGTATTCAGACTTCATATATTCATTGAATTTGGCCTTGTTGCTTAATTAAATTTTGATTCTTTATATATGATTTTATTGCAAAATAGATTGTTAAATCTCGTCATTTTATATCTTTAATTCTTTTTATTAAAAAGAATATTTTACGGCTTCTAAAGTGCAAGACTTCATCAGAAGCAGATGCCAAGACCAATCAACTAGAGAAAATTCAATCCTATGGGAGCATCTTTTATGATGGCTACTGTATGTCCACAACGTTACAATTGGAGTTTTGCTCTGCATCAAACAACTCATCACGTCGGTGTTATGTGTTCATTTTCTCCTGGCCAAGGCAAAAGTGTCGTCTTCATGGGATCAATTTCTCTTATAATGTATGTAAAATATAGGCGTCAATTCCATCTCCGATCTTTACTAGCATCAAATTTTTTATTTGATCTCTTGAGCTAGGAGTTTGGGATCTAATGATATAAGAATAAAATAATAATTAGTGGTCACACTTCAAATCACAAACATAAAAACTATCTCAATAACAATCACACTCAGAATAACTACCCTGCTTTAAACATTTCAAATGATTTGTTACACTGTGCCTAAAACACCAATACATGTCAATTTAAGTTTGCAAACAACCACTTTTTTTTCATTCTTTGTTTATATTTCCTCTTCTTTTTTCATTGTAATTTGTAAATATAAAGAAGAAGAAAAAAAAAAGAGATCTTAAAGACATTGAAGTTTCGATAATGACACTCTTAGAAGTATGATAAACTTTGATGATGATATTATTAATACTATTAACAAAATCTCAAGGAAATAAACCCAAAAATATTAAAAAAAAAATCAACAATCAATAAAATAAATTATATAAATAGTTTAAAAATAACAAGTTCCACTTGTCTTCTAGCGATTTATATAGGCCATTACATTCATCATTAATAATTTTTTTAGATGGGGTTAGATTTATCTCCTCACGTTTTTTTTAACAGAAGTTATGTCATTTTTAAAGCTTTGATGTGTATCCAGCCAGCGAGCAGAAGACCCCACACGATGAATGCAAAAGAAAGGAGTTGCAAGCCACTTTCTATATATGTCGGCAGTCGCTAGTGTTTAGACTCACATGCAGCTTTTTGCCCGGGGCTAGGGTGAAAGAAACGAATTGCACGTGTCTAAGTCCACAATCGTTTTCCCCACAACTTATCTCCTGAATTGTCATCACATCTGGTCCATGCTAACTACCCTGCTTTAAACATTTTAAATGATTTATCACACCGTACCTAAAAGACTAGTAAATGTCAATTTAAGTTTGCAAACAACCACTGTCCTCTGAAGTTGTGGTTATATATATATATATCCTCCGAGATGCTGTTTTTAATTCATCCAAAAATTTAATAAAGGTAGGAAAATATTTTCTTCAATGGAGCTGGGAAGTATAACCGAGTTCCTGAACAACAAGTCCATTTTGGTCATTGGTGCAGCTGGATTTCTTGCGAAGAGTATTGTCCCCTCTCAAAAGAAATTTATTTCCTCAAGACTTACGAATTTATGATTTCGTTCCTTTAATTTTTGTAGTGATGTGCTGTGACAGAATCAATCCATTAACAATGTTGTTTTCTAACGTTGGCAGTTTTTGTGGAGAAGATATTGAGGGTTCAACCCAAAGTGAAGAAGCTTTATCTTCTTCTAAGAGCCGTGGACACTAAATCTGCTGAAGAACGCCTGCATAATGAGGTCAAATCTTCTTCTTTCTTTCCCTTTTTTTGTTTTATCTTAAATTTATTATATGTGCATCATGCATGGACTGAAACATAGAATAGTTCTTGATACTATATTGGACATATACTGATTTATACAGGTGATAGGGATGGCCTTGTTTGATGTTTTGAGAGAGCAACATGGTGCAAGTTTATATTCCTTCGTTTATGAAAAACTGACTCCTGTTCCTGGGGATATCTCTTGTGTGGACTTGGGAATAAGAGACTCGTTGTTGAAGGATCAGATATGGAATGAAATTGATACGGTGATTAACTTCGCTGCCACCACCAACTTTGATGAAAGGTCAGCAAGGAAATTAACTGATTTTCATTAGTTCATTTCTTTTAGAGATAAGAGATTTAAATTCCTTTGCAACGAAAGATATTTAAGAATTTATCAATCACTAAAATTAGTAACGTTTCACTCTTCTTACTTATTTTTTTATATTGTTTGTTGAAGATACGATGTTGCATTAGGTATCAATACATTGGGACCTTTGCACCTCCTGAACTTTGTCAAGAAATGTAATAATGTTAAGGTGCTTGTCCATGTATCAACTGGTAAGAATATTTATTATGTAGTATGCACACAATCCACGCCAAGAATAATTTTTTGAAATCTTTAATGCAGACTAACGTCCATCTTCTCAATGATTGTGCTTTCGTCAGCTTACGTATGCGGCGAAGATGCAGGATTGATACAGGAGAAGCCATTTCCCTTGGGGAAATCCAAGAAAGGCACAGAAATGATAGACATCGACATGGAAAAGAAACTGGTCGAGGAGAAATTGACGAACCTCCACTCAGAACATGCTGAAGAGAGTGCGATCACATCTTACATGAAGGATTATGGCTCTAAACGGTAGTAATATCTAATTAAATGGTGACAATTTTCGTTTAAGACATATATACTTCTTTGCCTGACATGATGTATTTTCCCTTGATCGTGATTAATTACAGGGCCAGGATGTTTGGATGGCCAAACACTTACGTATTTACCAAGGCAATGGGAGAGATGCTCCTAGTCCATTATAGTAGAGATACAGTACCTCTAGTTATTATCCGCCCTACTATTGTAACAAGTACTTACCAGGAGCCGTTTCCCGGTTGGATTGAAGGTGTAAGGTAGTCTGCTACTGCATATCTGCATGCGCATTGATTAGTACTTAAAAGTGTATTTTTATCATGGTTTTATATCATCATTTTGCACTTGAAATATCAATAACTCCTTAACTAAAATATGTTTTATAAAAATGTATCTAATAATATAAGATACCTATAATTTGTGGTAAATATCTATTTTTAATGCAGGCCTATCACATAAATGAAAGGATTGATTGATGACTTGAAGAATTTAAATTGCAAGGATAAAGAGATGGCCAAACTTAGAAAAGAGATGTCGGTGCAATCCAAACCGGAACACTGTTTGGTAATTGGGTCATATCTAGAGCTATATATCTCAGATTTAGGTCCAATTTATATGGATGGAAAGGTAAAACATAGGCCTACAACTTTCATATGGAGCCCAAGATCTAAAAAGGCCATTATCAAGTCCAAATTGTAGCAACAACAAAGAAGCCCAAATCTGTCTTCCAGCCCGAGCACTGTTCGGTATTTTGGCCATATCTGGAGTTCTAGAAGTCCAAATGAGCTAAATGTTTTACACAAGAAAGCTGAGACAATTGCCTACAACTTTCATGTTTGCAATGGGCTCCAATTTTGACGTTATCAATGACGTTTTGGGCAGACAAGAGAAGATAAGGATTGTCACCAAGTCAAAAGTTGGCCACCCACTTATCAATTAGTCATCAAATCAATAGTTCCCAATTTTGGCCTATAAAAGGAGGCATTTGCCATGCATTTAGGCATCTTGGTTTCCAGATCAAGATCATACTCTTCCTTTCTCTCTTTGTATTTTTTGTAATGTTTATGCTTTGCTTTCATTAATATTAAGTTTATGCCTTTCATTTCCTTTCCTTTACTTAGTTAACTTTTATGTTCTTATTTTGTTTATCTATTTTGCTTTCTTTCATTATGTCTAGCTAAGTTAGTTATGTCAAGGTGAAAAGGTTACACTAATGGTGTAAGAATAAGTATAATGTAAACTTAATATGGACTTTAATGTTTGATACTAACATGTTTTATATTTGTTATCTTGTTCACTCTTTAATACTTTGCTTGTTAAATGACTAATCTTGATTTATGTTGTATAACACTTGGTACAACAAATGCTTGGCACTTTCATAGCCCATAATGTATGGTATAACCGACACCTGAGCTATGAAAGGAACTTGATTTGTTGTTAACATAAGTTATAATCATGAATGCTTGACGAGTTTACAAGTATTAGCATTAATTGAATAAGATGACTAATATAATCATGTTAACAATATATAATCTGATTGGAACCTCCTTTATGTGTGGTTTCCAATTCAATAATAAGAGTTTATACTATACTTGTTTGATATACCATTAGTGGAACCTCTAACCTTGACATTTGTTATTATAATTGTTTAATCGTTACATTAATATTCCATCTCAAAGTTCTCATCTTCTTCTTCTTCTTCTCCTTCTTTTTTCATTATTATTATTATTATTATTATTATTATTATATTACTATTATTATTAGTATTACTATTATTATTATTATTATTATTATTATTATTGTTATTATTGTTATTACTATTATTGTTGTTGTTGTTGTTGTTGTTATTATTATTATTGTTGTTGTTGTATTATTGTTATTTATAATTTGTACAATTAACCTTCCTGTAGTTCGACCCCGGTCTTGCCGGGTTATTTATTACTTCGACACTCCTGCACTTGGGAGAAGACAATAATCTTTTCGTCGTGTCAAGTTTTTGGCGCCGTTGCCGGGGAGGTAAGTTTTGTATAAATTATAATATTTATTTTATTTTCTCTTTTCACTTTTCTTGTATATAACTTTGTTTCTTTTCTTTTGTTTCTTTTTATTTTGTTTTCTTCCTCCTTCTTTTGCTTTCTTCTTCTTTCACTTTTCTTGTATATAACTTTATTTCTTTTCTCTTATTTCTTCTTCTTTTGTTTTTTTGTTTTCTTTTATTTTATTCATACACGTGCATGAGAGTGTGGTCACGTACATCAAGTGGTAGACTTTGTAGGGTATCCTCATCATTTTCAGAAAATATGGCTGAGGAAGATAATCAATCACTTCATAATGGAAATAATGAGAATAACCGTGCTAGAACACTTAGAGACCACATGAATCCCACAAGAACAAGTGCACCATCATGCATAGTTTTTCCTCCTGATGCATCTCATTTTAATTTTAAACCAGGTATTATTCAACTTTTACCTTCTTTTCATGGTTTAGAATTGGAAAATCCATACTTGCATTTAAGAGAATTTGAAGAGGTCTGCAACACATATAATAATTTAAATTGTAGCATGAACACCATCAGATTAAAGCTTTTCCCTTTTTCATTAAAAGATAAAGCTAAAACATGGCTACAAAATTTAAGACCAGGATCCATTCGTGCTTGGGATGAAATGCAACAATAATTTTTAAAGAAGTTTTTCCCATCTCATAGAACAAACTCTTTCAAAAGACAAATCACCATTTTCACTCAAAAACCAGGAGAAACATTTTACAAATGTTGGGATAGGTATCGAGATTTGCTTAGTACTTGCCCCCATCATGGTTTTGAAACATGGAGATTGGTTTCACATTTCTATGAAGGGTTAACACCTAAAGATAGGCAAATGGTTGAATTGATGTGCAATGGAACTTTTGAAGATAAAGACCTTGATGAAGCAATGGAGTACTTAGACTTGTTAGCTGAAAATGCTCAAAATTGGGACACCGCGGGTACATATGAGGCACCGAGTAAAACTCAACCTCATACATCTAGTGGAGGTATGTACAACCTTAGAGAAGATCATGACCTTCAAGCCAAATTTGCATCTTTAGCTAGAAAAGTTGAGGCACTAGAATTGAAAAAGAATGGTCAATTAAAATCTGTTGAAAATATTGTGTGTCAAATCTGTGAAACAAATGAACACTCAACCAATGATTGTCCAACCTTGCCTTCTTTTAAAGAATGTCTCCATGAATAAGCCCATGCTTTAAACAGTTTTCAAAGGGCCAACCACAACCCATACTCCCAAACATACAACCCTGGTTGGAGAAATCACTCAAATTTCAGTTGGAAGAGTGAGAACAACAATGCACAAACTTCACAACCACCATTTCAAGCACACCACAATTTTCAAAATTATCATGGATATGCACCTCCTTATGCTCCACCTCCTACAAGAAATTTTGAGGAAACTTTGTATGCATTCATTGAAAAGCAAGAGACAATCAACACTCTACTTGCTCAAAGCATAACAGATTTTAAAGATACTCTTGCAAAATTCACATCTGCTCTCAGTTTCCAAGAGAAAGATAAGTTTCCATCTCAACCACAACAAAATCCTAAGGGGCAATACAATGCAAATGCAAGTAGTTCCAGAAGCCAACACATGGATCAAGTCAAATCAGTCACTACTCTACGCAGTGGTAAGGTTATTGAAAAACCCTCTCTTGAACCTTATAAGAAAGATGATGAGTCAATTTCTAAGGGAAAGGAAGGGGTTGAATCTGAAAATTGCAGAGAAACGACTGATTCTCCGCCAGCACTTCCATTTTCTCATGCCATGACCAATTAGGAAGAAATCGAGGATGAAAAAGGCATCGAAAAGGTTGATGCGAATCTTTTATCAAAAGTGACAACAGATTCGACACCCGACATCACACCAATCGATGATTACTTTCCTGATGAATCTCTACTTTCTCTTAATTCAATGCCTTGGTTTGTTAAAAATATCAATTTTCTTGCTTCAGGATTTTTGCCAACTCATTGGAGTATTGAAGACAAAAGAAAATTTTTGAGCAACGAGCAAAATTTGTATTGGGATGATCCTTACTTATTCAATTATTGTCCTGATCAAATATTTCAAAAATGCATTCTCGACAATGAGGTAAGTAGTTTCATTAAATTTTGTTACTCTAAGGCATGTGGGGATCATTTCTCATCAAAAAAGAGGATTGTAAAAATCTTATAAAGTGAATTTTACTGGCCCATCATATTCAAGGAGTTAGATGCATTCCGCAAAAACTGTGAAAATTGTCAAAAGGTGGGATTTATTTCAAAACACAGAGAGTCTTTAGATAATCTTCTATTGACTCTTAAGTCTCATCATAGTCGAGATAAGCATCGTGCAATTCATGACTTATGAACCCATTTTCATAAAGAACATACTTGACTTAGTCTTGGGAATCTGACTAAAAAAGACCCTGTTTGCCAGTTTTTAAGAAAACTAGATGGGAAGCCTATCCCCGACCCATTGAGGGCGTTTAAGCTGTTCTTGGACATAAAACCAAGGGAAGATGTGAGCCACATTCACAACTGTGATTTGAATTTTTTTTGTTTGTAAAAACTTGTGTCTTTTGGTTTTATTATTGTGTTTTGTTATTTCTTATTTTTGTTTTAGTGTGTTTCAGGTTTTGTCAGTGTTCGTTATTTCAGGTGATATCTTCTATACTCTATCTTTCTACCTTAGAACATTGAGGACAATGTCTCGTTTTGGTTGGGGGGAGAGGGTAGTAGTTGATAAAAAAAAAAATTATTTTTCATTTCATAAAGCATGTGCATAATTGTTGTTAGTAGGATGGCAGAGTAAAGGACTTCTTTTGTTAAAGTGACTCTTGAGACGCATCTTACTAACCATTCTTAACAAGGTCTATTATAATACTTCCTGAAATATTCAGATTTACAAACTCTCGCATTGTTATCACTTAATTCTGCTCATATACTTATTTAACATGTATTCTTAAACCTTAATTTACACACACACACATTTTAACATATGATTGTGGGTTGCATATTGGATTATTACATTATTTATGTTCTTTTGTTAAAGGTAACAACTAAGGGAAAGGGATTGTATATAATTAAAAAACAAAAACATGAAAAAAAAAGAAAAAAAAAAGAAAAAAAGAAAAAAAAAGAAAAAAAATGATGATAATAAAAATGTAGATAAGTTTGGTTTCGTAGCCTCCCTAACCTAAGCAATTAAGCCCGAAGGGGTGTTTTAACACCTAATACCCTAAAGTCAACTGACTT